ATCCTCTATTCCATTGGTCTACATGTCTTTTTTTGTGCAGGTACCATGTTGTTTTTGTTACTATGGCTTTGTAGTATAATTTGAAACCAGATCTTGTGATGCCTCCAGCTTTGCTCTTGTTGTTTGGGATTGCTTTGGCTATTCAGGGTCTTTTGCGTTTCCATATGAATTTTAGGACTCTTTTTTTCTACATCATTGATATTTCAAAGAGGATTGTATTTAACCTGTAGATTGTTTTTGGTTATATGGTCATTTGAGTATTATTAAATCTGGTGTTTCTTGAACATGGGAGAGCTTTCCATTTTCTAGTGTCTTCAATTTCCCTCTTCAGTGCTATGAGATTTTTACTGTAGAGTTTTTGTTAACCTTCTTTGTGATCCCTATATATATTTTTTCTTTTGGTTGTTTGTTTTGTTTTGTTTTGGTACTGGGACTCAAACTCAGGACCTTGCACTTGCCAGGCAGGCACTTGTGCCACTGAGCTATATCCCTGGCTCTCCTTGTGTCTTTTCTGAAGCAATTTTTTGAATAGAATTGTTCTCTTGATTTCTTTCTCAGCTAGTTCATTAGTGATTTTTACATGTTGCTTTTTTGGCCTGGGGTGCCTTAAGTTCTTAAACTGACTCTGTGAAGTAACTCTTCTCATTTTAGTGATAAGGAAACTGAGGTTCAGAGAGCAGAAATCATGTGTCAAAAGCCACCCAGCTGGGCAGTGGCCAGGGGTGGGTTTGAACCATGCACCTGACAGTGGTCTCCAAGACCCCTCAAGCTTATAAAGGCCTCAGGGTACCAGTTTGTTCTTCCGTCCATTATGAAAATAACCCATGAGGTGTTAGGAGGCTCACAGGCAGTGGCAGTCCAGCTGTCTGCACAGGAGATGCCCAGTGGCTGTCTTTGTGTCCATCTCTACACCTGAACCCTGTGGCATCGGGGCCTCTCTGAAATTCTGTTTCCTTTTCAGTCCAGTGCGAATAACAGTAGCTCCTGTTTCTGGCTCTGTGTTCCTCTGTGTCTCATTGATGGCACCCACAGGGCCCAGAATTTGCCCAGTGACATTGCTACTGCTTTCTCTGATCCTCTGTTTCTACATTTCTTAAAACAAAAGCCATAATAGATGCGTGGAAGAGGCCCTGGGAGGATGAAATGACATGAGGGAATTAAAGTCCCTGGCACCCACAGGTTTTGGGGGTGGTTCCTCTTTGGTCTTCTCTGTGCCAAGCACTGTCTGGCACCCTCTGGTCCTGCCTGGGTGCACGTTTGTGTGAAACCTTCCATGCTGTCTCCTCTGCGTCTTCCCTGCACCCAGCCCATCTTGGGCTTTCCTCTAGGGATGCGCTGGGGAGGGAGTGGTTGGGATGAAGGGTCTGGCTGATGATCTACGTCAAGCCAGTTGATCCGGGTTCAAGGGCTCTGCAACTTCCCAGCAGGGTCATCTTGGCTGATCACACACAGCCTCTTTGGAGTTCTGCTTCCTTCTCAGTCCAGTGGGAATAACAATAGCTCCTGTTTTGGGCTCTGTATTCCTTCAGCCCTGTGGTTCTTAGAACTGGGTTTACGTGAGCTCCTTCTTCTCCCCTCCAGGTGTCGCCAGCTGTGCACAGGGACTGACTGCCTGGCCGAGGACCCACAGTGGAGTGCTTCTGGCACCACAACAGTGAGTGGTGAGGGACTCTTGTGGTCAGAACTCGTGTCTCCGAAGGGGGCCAGAAACCACACGTGGGGTAGGAGCAGCAGGGGAGGACGCCAGCGGAGGTGTCCCTTGGGCTTTGGAGGCATAGGTTGGGACCTGGTTGGCAGTACCATATCTCTCTCCCTTGTTGCACTTAGCATTGTTGGAATCCTTCCAGTATCTGAGGGACTTTGGGTGAATAATTGCCTCCCCTACTGGACTGCAGGGAAACAGGATCCTGAGGAGAGAGAAGAGATGATTGTCAAGAGGAGAGATTCTGACTCTTGGGTTTGAATCGTGTTTCTGCCTTTTCCTAGATGTGAGGCCTTGGACAACTGACTTAGCTTTTTATATATATCAAGTCCTAAGAATAGTGCCTGCCATGTGGAAGTGCTGGAAAGGTGTCCGTTAAATAAAATAGTAACACAGGAAGTGGTTAAATCGCCACACCAGTCCTGCCAGAGCCAATAAGGACATTATGGTTAACTTCTTCCCCTGCTGACCCTTGTCTTGCCTTGCAGAAAATGGAGGATGGAGATTACAACAGTTCTGCCGCCTATGATTCAGACTATCTGGATGGTTATGACTCTGTCATGATTTTGGAGGAGTCTTCTCCCCTGGAGGCCAAGGTAGCCAGGATCTTCCTGGTGGTGATCTACAGCATTGTGTGCTTCCTTGGGATCTTGGGCAATGGCCTGGTGATTGTCATTGCCACCTTCAAGATGAAGAAGACGGTGAACACTGTCTGGTTCCTCAACCTGGCTGTGGCAGATTTCCTGTTCAATGTCTTCCTGCCTATCCACATAGCCTATGCCGCCATGGACTACCACTGGGTGTTTGGGACCGCCATGTGCAAGATCAGCAACTTCCTGCTCATCCACAACATGTACACCAGTGTCTTCCTGCTGACCATCATCAGTTTTGACCGCTGCATCTCTGTGCTTCTTCCCGTCTGGTCCCAGAACCACCGCAGCATCCGGCTGGCCTACATGGCCTGCATGGTCATCTGGGTGCTAGCTTTCTTCCTGAGTTCCCCATCCCTCGTCTTTCGGGACACAGTCAATCTGCATGGGAAGATAGCCTGCTTCAACAACTTTAACCTGTCCGCACCTGGCCCTTCCTCCTCATTTGCTCACTTCCAACTGCACCCCGTGGGGCAGAGATGGCATATGGTGGTGACACTCACCCGCTTCCTCTGTGGCTTCCTGGTCCCCGTCTTCATCATCACAGCCTGCTACCTCACCATTGTCTGCAAACTGCACCGCAACCGCCTGGCCAAGACCAAGAAACCCTTCAAGATTATCGTGACTATCATCATCACCTTCTTCCTCTGCTGGTGCCCGTATCACGCCATCTACCTCCTGGAGCTCTACCACAAGGCCATCCCTGGCACTGTGTTCAGCCTGGGTTTGCCCCTCGCCACTGCCATTGCCATTGCTAACAGCTGCATGAACCCCATTCTGTACGTTTTCATGGGCCAGGACTTCAAGAAGTTCAAGGTGGCCTTCTTCTCCCGCTTGGTTAATGCTCTGAGCGAGGACACGGGCCACTCCTCTTACCCTAGCCACAGGAGCTTTACCAAGATGTCCTCAATGAATGAGAAGTCTTCGATGAATGAAAAGGAGACCAGCATGCTGTGAGTCTCTCCTGAGAAGTCCCCAGTGGGCACTCCCAACCCAAGGCTGCCCCAGGACATTCCAACGCCCAGTGCATTTTGTATGGGGTGGGCCATATTTTGAGCGGGGAATCCAGCACAGGGAAACTCTTTCTCTAAGTGGGATGGTGGACAGATCCTGTCCTGTTGCGCATAACCTTGGACCTGCAGTCCATGATCTGTGGGAGACCAGCCTTGCCCAATTCGGAATAATAAAGGAAGAATTCTCAAAAGCACTGCCATGAACTGGGATCAGCATAAGGCTGTGGGATGAAGCTACCTACTGTGTAGCCCTGAAACGCCACACTCTGTGAGGTCCCTAGTGTGAGCAGGGGAGGTCAAAGAAAATCCAGAGTGATGCAGTTTGCACTTTACCCCTTATACCTTTATCAGTAGTTGGCCAGAAAACTCCACTCTTCCAGCCATTCCTCTGGGTTTAAGGAGTATGAGATTCATGGTTAGCTGGGACAGAAAGATGACATCAGCCCATGAACTTTCAAGACCATGAACTTGACTTTCAGATGAGCTGGGAAGACAGAGACCAGGGGGCTTTGTGAGATCTTTGCAAGGACAAGACAAGGGAGGTGCCTGCAAACAGGACTTGGGGCTTGGTGGGGGGGTCAGGAACGATAAAGGCAGAGCATAGACCCCTCAAAGGTCATAGACATGCAGCACCTCATCCTAAAACTCCACAGGGCAATGATGCTTTGGCTGTAGGTGCTATAAGGGCGTGGGTGGTGCCAGACCTTTGCTCCAGCTGTGCTCTGGGCTCGTGATGGTTACCTGGGGCTGCCGGACCTCTTCACTAGCAGCCGCCACCTGTCACAGGGTTCTTTCCTTCTCTAATCCACTCAGCTCCGGCTAGAGGTGCTCGGAATAAAACTCTCCTGGAGGTGGGCGTGGAAGGGGCAGGGCTTCTGCTTTTCTCCCTTTCCCTCCAGGCCTTGTTGGAGACTGCTCCAAAGCACAGCTTTGGAAAGCAGCCTGGGAGCATCTCCTGGAGGAAGGAGGTGCCCCAGGGCCCACCACAACCTGGGATCCAACTTCTTCAGCCAAGCTCCTGAGATAAGACAACAAGCAGCCCATGTGCAGCCCTGTGGCCTGACTCTTCTTATCTGCACCAGACACTTCCTGCTGCAGGGAATGACATTGTCCATTCCCAAACAAGGCTGAGGCTCTGAGGGTGAAAGTAACTCCCCTCTCATCACACACAGCACATCAGTGGCAGAGATAAGATCTGAATCAGGGTCTGCCCGGCTCCAGTATCTATTAAGACTATTCCAGGCTATAACGACAGCCTACATTTATTTAGCACTTTCCATGTTAAGTACTTTCTATGTATTATCTCATGTATTCCTCACAGCCACTCCAAGTTAGGTACAATGATTATTTCCCTCTTACATATGAGGGATCTGAGGCTCAGAGAGGTTAAGTAGCTTTCTCAAGGACACTGAGCTAGTCCCTGCCGAAGGCCGGATTGGAGCTTCAGTTTGCCTGCCTCAAAAGAGGCTGCGGAGTCAGGAAGCAACGAGAGAGGCTGGGGTTTTAACTAAAACTATTGATTCTTCAGCAGATGGCTGTGAACATCTTAATGACAATTAAGAAGCTTTGCAGGTAGTTTTCAGAATGATCCAACGTATACAGAAAAGGCATTTGGCCTCCAGTTCCCTCAACACCCATCAACATTCACCCCCATGGCTCCCGTGCCTGGTACCCTCTGAGGTCTGCAGAAGAGGGGGTTTGGGGGTGGGCCTGGCAGGAGGCAGCCTCTATGGGCCCAGGGCCTTCTGGCCTCTAAGTGTCCACATTCTGTTCTCTTCCAAGTCTCCTCGTTGCTAAGCCAATTCTCCAACAGGATGCAAGGAACAGATGTAATGTCCACCTCTAGCTGGGCCAGTCCCCGGGCTTCAGGCTGTTTGGAATCACACTTCATTAAAGGACAGACTGTTCCTTCCTGGTTGGGTCTTGATGCTTATGACGAGGCGGCTCTGAGCGGACACAGGCTGGGGACTCGAATGCTTCAAGGAGTCTGCACTTGCTCCACTTGGGAGCCAAAGGGGAACTGTGAATATGACTTTGTGCCCCAACATCTCTTCCCCAGCTTTCAGATGAAGCAACCGAGGTACAAAATGGCATAAGATTTGTCCCAGGTCACAGGGACAGTCACTTGTGGCTGGGGGATGATGGCACTCCTCCTGGGCTTCCTGGTCGGCCAGGCCAGGCTAGGGAGCCAGGAATTTATGTTGTCATCGGAAAAGCTGATAAACAGGAGCACAGTTCAAGCCTCCTCAGAGCCAAACCTCCCTCTTTCTGGCTGCTATTCCAGAATACCTATTCTGACTGAAGTTTCCCCTTGAGTATTAAATGCAACCATGACATTTTCATCAGTCTTGTCCCCTCTGTCTTATAAGCATCTCCACGGGTCATGTGTGTATAACCTCTGCACTTTGCACAGTGTGTTCCCCTGTGTCACCCCACAAGCAGCCAACATACTAAGGGCTTGAGCACCTTCTCTCTGGGCTCAGGACTCAGCTATGGAGCCCAGCACTGCTTTTGGTCAGGGTGGGTCGGTCAGGGTGGGTGGGCCGAGGGGGCCTGGGCACAAGAGGCAGAGGGACAAGAAGAGAAGATGGTATTTAAGGATGGGGTGCAGAGAAGAAAAGAAGCAGAGCATGATGGGAAAGAAAAGGGATCTGCCATTTTTAAGCATCTGCCGTGTGTCAGTCCAAACCTGTGACTGGCCCCATGAAAAGCGGACCACAGAGCAGTGGCAGAGGCTCAGGAAGGCAATATCGTGGTTATGTTGTGAGGCAGTAAAAAAAGCCCAGGCATTTCCAACCTCCTGTTCCCCACATTGTGGTCTTTGGGGAATCTGCACTTTGAGAAAATTTCCACTACTTATTTTTATTTTCCTAGCAACCAGGATACAAAAAATGTGGTAACTGACTCAAGATAACCATGCAAGCCTTAGCAGGTAAGGGACACAGCCAGGGTTCCAACTCCCAAGTCCATGCTGTTCGGCACTGCTTAGGCTGCTCAAGGATCCACCGACAAAACCTACCCCAACACCCACCTGCCAATTCATCCCAACTTCTACCCACTCCTCCACCTATCCCAGCACCCACCCATCCACTCACCCCAACACCCATCCAACTATCCACTCAGCCCAGTAGCCACTCACCCACTCCATCACCACCCGGTCATCTACCCCGACATTCACCCAGCAACCCACCCACCCATCCAGGTACATAACCATCTGTATTAGTGATGGCAGACCTTTTAGAGATCGAAAGGCAAACTGCAACCCAAAGCCCACCTGTGGCAGAGTGCCAACACTGTAATTAAACCTGAATACTGAGGTTTTAGAATAGAAAAAAACCAACTCATACATTAACATCTTTTGTCTTAACACCAGTGCCATAGGTTCACCACCACTGATCTATCTATCCACCCATTTATCCACTGTATAAAAATATATTTGATATACCTACTCTTTGCCAGTGGTATCCCACTGTGGTGGGTATTGAGGATTCAGGGGTAAGATACACACACAGTCTCTGTCCTCATGATTTCCTTCACTGGCTAATGAGATGAACAGGTAAAAATTAAGAATAAAAAGCAACGCATACACAGCTTCAATGGCAAACGGTCGTGGCGAAGGGCTACGCTCTTATTACAGAGGGACCTGACCCTGTTCAGAGCCCAAGGCAACTTCCTTGTGGGAGAGACGCTTGGTTGCAATGTGGAGGATGGGTAGGCATTGATTTGGTGGGGGTGGAGGAGTGGGGTGCTCCGGGTAGAGGGGACAGCATGGGCAGCTGTGAAGATGTAGGAGGGAGCGGTGGCTCCAGGGGGCTGACGGGGATGGGGCGGCAGTGAGTGAGTAGGGTGAAGATAGGACCGGATGGTGGGGTGCCTGCCTTGAGACACGGGGAGCCATGTGCAGAGGTGTGACGGGACCAGACCTGCACCCTGAATCAGTGCCCCCTGGATGCTCTGGGGAGCACCAACTGGAAAGGTCAGAAGAGGAGGCCAGGAGGCTGCTGCAGCCTTATTGAGGCACTGTGGTCCCTGAACAGGACAGGTGAAGGTGGAGCGTGAGAGAAGTGGGTTATTGGGGAGATATTTAACAGCTCCCCAAGCTTCCTCAGGGGAGCAGTTGGTGGGAAAGCAACCCAGGGCCATTTCTGCGATATAGAGGTCTCATTGCACTGCTTTATTGATGGAAATTAATTGCAAATATTATTCAAATTTATCTCCCAGTGCACAATTATATTTCTCAGGGGAGCCCTCTGAGCACATAATAAAGCTCCATAAATAATACATATATTAACATAAGAGGAGCAGAGGCATATTCATGCTGCAGTTGCGGGTGGGGGCTGTGGGAATTTATGCAGACGAGACTCCAAATGCTTGAAGTTGAGGTTTAACCTTGGGCAACCTGAGTTCTGTCCTGCGGGAATTTCCAGAAGCATCTCCGCACTGGAGGATGGGGATGCCCCAGCACACCAGCCAGCTGCTGGTCTACGCACCTGGTTAACAGGCAGTTAGGGGTGAGGAGACGTTGGTAAAGGGAGGGACAACAGTTACCGGAAGTTCTTGCAATGAGAACACCAAGTGTGGCATGGGTGGGAGTACTAGTGAATGACGACTGCGCATACTTAAGCCCTTCAGCCTCACAATCTCAGCGAAACTTCACAGATTCCTTTGCAGGAGGGCATATTGCTCTCTCCAGAGACAGATGAAGAAGCTGAGGCTTAGAGGGGTGAAGTGACATGTCCAACGCCACGCAGTTTGTAAGTGTCAGCACTGGGATTTAAGCCCTGTCTGTTTGTCTCAGAAGTTTTTGCTGTTTCCCCAGCAACATGCAGACAGAAAACTCTCCTTTGAAGAGACTTCCTTGAGGGAGGACGATAAGCTCTACCTCTCCACTGTCATATTTTGAGGAGAAGGCGATGGAGGAACATGAACCATTGCCTTGTCCTACGGGGGGAGAAAATGGTGTCTGATAGGCTTGTCACTTCCTCATGGCCTTGGGGAGCAGAGAGTCCTGCAGTGTGGAAGAGATGCTATGTCATCAGTGCATGTCTTCCTGCACCCCCATTTTATTTGGGGACCACCTGCCTCACCGACTGCTGTGCAGAGAGAGGTGTGTGGAACACTCATGTGCGTTGCTGTTAAGGCTTCATCGTCCTACAGCCCTGGGGATTCATCAATCTTTCCTCTTCACTGTTCAGTGTTTTGGCCAGGGCTCTGGCGTTGTTCTGCCCTGAAGGCCACTACCCAGGATCTGGGGCCACCGAAGAGTTTTCAGCAGGGTCCTACTGAAACAGAAGTAGATGTTGGCAAAATGCTTCAGAGAGGAGACATGCTCTGTTTGGGGTGTGGACTTAGCTTTCAAAATTGTCCTGGATGTGGGTGCAGGGCATTTTCTGAACTAGCTGGTGATTTCCTGGGTGTTCCACATACCGACATTCATTTATCTGTACATTGAAGATGAATACACATCATTGTGGTAAGTTATGCCTCAATAAAATTCTTTTAAAAAGTGAAATAATTTGGGATGTGGGCAGCAATGACTCTCCACTTCTGTGGACACCCTGGACAGCTGGCAGCAGGACAGAACAGGCCTGTGGGCTTTGCCCCTGACTCAGGAGAGCAACTTAGAGAGAAGCGGTCTCTGTAGAGTCCATCTGCAGAGGCAGAGTCTCAGGAAGGACTGAACTCTCCCAGCGGTTACCCCAGCACTGTCCCACCTCTTACCCCAGCTCAAAGGCCTTTGATGGTTATGACACAGAAATGGGGTGGAGTGGAGCTAGAATCCCAGCTCTACTGTCTGTAACAGCTGGGGACCCCAGGTGAGCTTATTCAACATCTGTGAAGCCTCCTCTTTTTCATCTGTAAAATGGGTTTGATAAGAGTTTGCGGCTCACAGCATTGCTGCGGAGATCTAATGTGAAGCCCTATCTTAGTCTCTGTTTACCACCTCCCTTGCCGGTCTCCCCACTTCTACCTTTGTTCTTGTCATTCAGTCTCTACTGTGCAGTGAGATTAGCTTCCATCACTGTACTGGTTAGCTTTCCATTGCTGGGACAAAATGCCCAATACATATAATTTAAAGAGGAAATACTTATGAAGTATGATCATAGAATATGGTGAATGTTTAAAGTTTTAAAAATTTACTACAGGAAAAGATGCATTGCCATTAATCCCCTTTGCTGCAAACACAGTTACCCCATTGTTCTTTCAGTTCTCAAAGTCCTCTTTCATAGTTCTTTACAAGATATGATTAAAAAATGTGGTGAGTGCCGGCCACTACCAAGTGCCATCCGATGCAAAGGCAGGCTTATAACAACACTACAGTGTGTCCTCATCCACCTTGTTCACTGGACCTGGCACCATGTGGCTTCTGGCTCTTTGCCAAAGTCACAATGACCATGAAAGGTAAACGTTTTGAATCAACTCAGGAAATCAAGGCAACCACAACAATGCAGCCAAAGACACTCACTCCAGAACTTCTTCAGCAGTGGCAGAAATGAAGAGCTAAGTGTGTTTGAAGTTCAGAAATATTTGGAGGGGCATTCATGGCAATGTGTCTTTCACTGTAATTTTTTTTTTTTGACAATTTAAACATTCACAGTATTTTCTAATCTCACCTTGTATTTTGACTCTCAGTTTTAGAGGTTCAGTCCATGATATGGTGGTTCTAAAGCAAAAACATCCAAGCAGAAGGGTGTGGCAAAGGAGAGCTGCTCATCTCATGGCGTCCAGGAAGCAGAGAGCAGGGGAAAGAGGCAGAGAGAAAGAAAGGGGGTGGTTGGTGGCCGGACCCTTCCTTCACGGACCCTCAGTGATTTACCTCCTCCAAGTGGGTCTTGTTTTCTAAAGGACCATTTCCCATGAACTCATCAGTAGATTAATCCATTGATAAATCAGTGTCCTTCTGATCCAGCCACCTTTCTAGGCCCTCCTCTGGACATTGCTGCACTGGGGATTTAGTCCTTAACACATGAATCTTTGGGAGAAGCTTCATATTTAAACCATACGATGGCAGAGTATAACAATCCAATCCCTTGCTATGGCTCACTGAATCCCACAGAATCAGCCCTGCCTCCTTCTCTGACTTTATCTCATGCTGTTCTCCAGCAAGGCAAGCCAGAAAGGGTCTCAAAGACAGAACAGATAAACAACACAACACTCTGGAGAATGCTCCCAGCTCAGGTGTTTGCACTTGCGCCCTGCTTTTGCAACAACACTGCCTCTGTCCTTTGCATGACTGGTTTCCTCACCTCTGTCAGGTCTCAGCACAGATGTCACCTCCTCGGAGAGGCCATGCTAAGGTGTCCCCAACCCACTCACTATCAGATTCCTTCTTTCATTTCCTTCG